CCTCCCATTCGAAAATTTGCAGAAGAAAAAAATTGATTTACATGAAGATTTTTTTTTTTTAATGATCTCAAATTTTCTGGCTTTTAAATAAATGATTGACATTGATAAATAATTCACCCATGAAAAATACCAGATGCTTTTCAATAACTGAAAAAAATGGGAATGTGTGTCAACTTCCAAGAGAAAAGAAAAGAACTTTCCGCGTTTACTTTTTGTCTGGCAATCGAGAGAATGAAAGGTTTTGTTGTGAAAATAACGCTGAAAAATTGCCAGACGGTAATCACAGTTCGAAATCGAGTTTTCCGACGAAACATTCTCTGGACATTTCGAACAGGTGGCAGGCATTAAAACCACTTATAATCTCATCAGCTAACTAGCCACATTCATCCCTCAAAATGCCAGACAAAAAAAAAATGACTCTGTATACCAAACTAGGCAGGATTAAACACAGAGCCGTATCTAGCTCCTCCGAGGAAGAAGAAGCCACCATGGACCTCCAACAACCAGGACTCAGTACCCAAATCAACGTCCGAACCAACAATAGGTTCGGTATACTACCAGTAGACCCTACAGAGGAACCTGCAGTAGCAAGCCAGAACAGCCCAACCAGACCGCCACCCATTATGGTTATGGCAAAAGTGAATTACAACAAGTTCAAACTGCCAGACAAAAGAGGATGGTTTTCAAAGTCCCCCCAGATATGGATACAGAAAAGGTCAAACAAATCCTAAACCAAGAACATAAAATTACTGAATGTATCAAAATGGAAGCCAGGCAAAATGAAGGCCATTCCTACCTTATAACGGCCGGAAAAGAAACCAATATAGGACTCCTAAAAAGGACAAGAAATATTCAGTAATTGAATGGGAAACCTTCCGTGAGAGGAGTACCATAACTCAATACCATAGATGCCAAGGACTAGGCCACGGATCAAGAAACTGTAGACAGACTATCAAGTGCCTGAAATGTGCAGAGCCCCACTCGGCAGCTGATTGCCACCGAAGAAGAGGAGAAAATGAGGAAGAAATCCATATGAAGTGCGCTAATTGCATTGAAGGACATGCAGCCAATCACATAGGATGTAAAATCATACAGGAATACATAACCAGCACGCAACCTGAAAAGTTCGAATCAAATAAAACACAACAAGGCAGATCTTATAGCCAAACCATAAGCAACAATAAAAACCAAGAACAAATAACACCAATCGGAAGCGACTTTCCCCCTCTGCCCAATAAAAACAAACAAAACAATTCAAATGATCTGGAAGACTTCCAAACACTCATGAAATAAATTGAGGATCTAAATAAAAAATTCAATATCAAAGAACTAATCAGCCAAGTCAGATCCCTAACACCAAGCTATCGAAAACCAATAACCATCCTAGCTAGCTATGGCAAATAGGAACTTTACAATTGTAATAATAAATGCTAATGGCATAATCAAACAAATCCACGAAATCAGGGACTTAGTGGAGAGAAAGAAACCCCAAGCCATTGCTATAGTTGAAACCAAACTCAAAAATAGACTGCCCCTCATAATTACAGGATATGATGTGATTTTCAAAAACCGCCCCAACCAAAATAAACCAGCTGGAAGAATAGCCCTGTACCTACAAAATAACATTACCTGCGAAGAATTGATAACAAATAGAAACAAACATTGGATCCCTGGCAGTAACACTCCAAGGCATAACCATTGCAGTGGCCTATAATAACAGGGGGGAACAACTATAGATGTCCAGGAACTGACTAATATCACAAATCACCGCATTTTAATCTTAGTGGGCGATCTGAATAATAGATACGTGTTTTGGAACTATCCCAGCAACAACATAGCAGGAAGAAGTCTATACGAAATGATAGAAAACACGGACATACCAATAATAGCTCCAGAATTACCTACAAGGCCCCATGCAGGGTCAATTTTGGACATAGGTTTAACAAGAAACCTGGAAGTGACGGCAAACACACTGCTTGAATTAACATCGGACCACTATTCAGTACTGTTCAGAGTCCAAAAACATCTGGAAACTAATCCACTAAGACCATATAATAAATACAAGGAGGCAAACTGGCGAGGATACAAAGCAGAAATTAACAGGAACATCAACATCAAAAATAACATCACAACAACAAGGGAAATTGGACAAGGAATACAAATTCTAGTGGAAATAATCATAAACGCCAAGGCTAACCATGTACCGGAAGGGAACGGAAAAACCTTAGAAAAACTTCCGGAAAACATACAAACGGAAGTTAACAGACGCAACCACAGATAGACGGATCATCCCATTCATAAACTGATTTTTGTCGTTTTGATCAGACCACCCATGGACCAGGGGAGGTGAGTTGCCCGCGGAGTTGGGGTGGGAAGACATCATTGCTCAAAATGGCGTGAAAACAACCCATGTGTGCGATAAAGATAGCTAGCTGCTCCAACCAACACCTACCTGCCATCGAACAGGCCGCTTCTGACTGGCGTTTGGCTGAAATCCACTGGTGCCAAATGCAACTCAGAAATAAAATTGAATACGTTAATTAGAAAAAGAGGAAAATATATTATTTAGGGATTCAAGACAAAATTTGGCATTCTCAGTGGTGGGACTAGCACAAAGGCCTAAAAGAGACAGAGAGATGTTGTCATACGAACATTTTGTTTATTGTTCCGTCTATCTGTGGTTTGATGTCATTAAGCGCAACCAACTAAAAGCCAAATACCAAAGAACGAGGAACATAATGGACAAACTAGAATATACTGACCAAAGCGCCCTGGTGAAAGAACTCACGTCATCACACTATAATGAAGTGGGTAGAACCATAGACTACAAATAGCCAGCGATAACGGCAATATATAGAAGCACGAGTATACAGGAACCGCAAGAAACCCGAAAACATTCCACCATACAGATAATAGATGACACAGGAGCTCAAACCGCCATAACAGACACGCAGAGTAACAACAAATGCCTTGGTAAACCAAATCATGAAAACCAGTGAACTGACAGAACACCTGTCAGATGAACTCACAGAATGGCACGTCACTAACACATACTGGAACCTGATGCACGCGGAACCAAATAATACAGACGATATCCTAACCAGCCCCAGGAAAGTACACAGAATGATAGTGAATTCCAAACCTTTTAAAGCAGCAGGAAAGGACCATATAGTAGCTAAAGACTGCAAATTCCTACCTAGGAACGCAGTAGTCCTTACATCTACAACGCGTGCATAAAGCTACATTATTTCCCCTATGCCTGGAAAGAAGCGAACATTATTGGGCCCGAGAGCTATAGACCGATCCCGCTCCTAAGTCCTAAACTACCTCGGGAAAATCCTATAAAGAATCATCAACAAAAGGATTACCAAGTTCCTGGAAGACAATAATTTTCTCGTAGAAGAACAATTGGGATTCATACCAGGTAGATCTACCGAACTAAAATTAGCTAGAGTAGTGGACTACGCCATGGAAGCAAACAACGTGAACAACACGACCACTCTAGCCACATTAGATATGGAGAAAGCCTACGACACTGTCTGGAGGAGGGGCCTATTACAAGATGATAGAGATGAACATCAACCCAGCCCTAACAAAAATAGTTGATGGCTTCCTGAACAACAGACGCTTCGCAGTAAGCATTAGAAGTACCACTTCAGATATTAAACCCATCACTGAGGGCCTTCCTCAAGGCAGTGTACTATCACCGACTCTATTCAACATTTACTTTAATGACATCCCAAAAAGACCAGACACCAACATCGCGGTCTATGCCGACGACATAGCAATATTCACCAGATCAAGAAGGACCCACATATCAGCAGCCAAAGTTGAACAACACACCAGAATAATAGACGAATACTGCCATAAATGGAAGCTCAAATTAAACCATAACAAGACCAACATCATCCAGTTCAATCAAAAAAGAAGGTCAGACCCAAACCACATCACATAAATGGTAATGAAATAACACCATCTGAAAATGTGACCTACCTAGGAGTAAACCTAGATAAGAAACTCAACTTCAGAGAACACTGCAAATGGGACAGAAGAAGAGCAGGACAAGCAGTTTCATCCATTCACCCTTTTCACTCCACAGGTTGTAGGCTAAACCCAGAAAGGCCTATAGAGAGCATATGTCAGGCCTATTATGACATACGCATACCCAATTTAGAGCTCCGCGGCCCGAACAAACAAGACACCCACTTCAGACTGGAGACTAAGTGCCTCAGAAAGGCCCTAAATATTAAAGGGACCAATTCGTAAATAGCCATATAGTCTAACATAGAGCGAATGTCAGACCCATTGATGACTCTCTACTAGACAGGACTCTTCGAGCGGACCACCAGAAGACTACAGAGTACAAGCCATATAGGAAGCACGAGAAGACAATTACCCTACAGCATCAAACATAGGGTAATCAACAATGTGGTAATAAGGGAGTAGCACGAAACAACTAAAAGTGCTACGAGGACGACATACCGGAAGACTTCCTATAGCGAAACGGAATAACCAAATAACCATACAATCCTAAGGACAGGACGCGAGCGCCAAAAACCAGATCAAGACGCTCAACTACCCCCTCCCCCCACAACCAGGCAGGACTAACGTAGCCTCATAAGTTAGTGTACTAACCAACCTGTAAATAATATAAATAACCAAACTTGTAAATAAGGAATCATTAGTATATGGAAGCTTAGATAGGAACCCATGTAAATTTAACCATTGTAAATATCTGTAATAATATTGTATATTATTGTTAATCATTGTAAGGCAAATATTTAATAAATAAATAAATAAATAATATATATAAAATATAAATGTGGACATATAGATACTTACTTCTCAAGCTCATAATCGAGGGAAAACTCGATGGCAGAACAGGCCCTGGACGGCAAGGAAAATCTTGGCTAAAGAATGTGTCACTGGTATGGCGAAACTGCGACAAGTGTATTCAGAAATTAGAAAAGCAGTCGATAAAGTACAGATAGCGCTGATGAATGCCAACGTTCGTAGAGGGCAAGGCACTTGAAGAAGAAGAAGAAGCAAGGTATTGGAAATACCCGAAGTATGTCTTCCCACATCATCAGGCGGGAGATGCTAAGAGAGAGGCCACCAATACCACTAAGAAGGCCCTAGCAATCTTCGTGGCCATTTTTACCGTAAGAGGATTGTTGACAACAGAATCCAGTGGAAAAATTCTATGGCTGAAAATCCACAGGAGACTTGATTTTTTTTATTTTAGAGTACATCTTGTTATCTTCAGAGAACTTAAATTTCCAAGAAGACGGTTTGGTAGCAATTATTATAATCTTGTGATCATGAAGGCTTTCAGAAAGGCGTTCGAAGTTTGCCATATGATACAATTGAGCTGCAAAGCTGTTCACATCTCAGTTTGGAATTCATTTTTTCAATGTTGGTAATATGTTTTCAAAACATGAACGAATCACCTTTCAGTTAGTTACTGTGCAAGAAATATCAGAACATAAATATTAAAAAGAAGCTTTGAACAAAAATCAATTTTTTTAGTTGCATTCAATCAATCTCTTCCCTTTCTTCGCTTATTCATGCCTGTCCATAATATGTCCTTTAACTACCCGCGCCGGTGTATAAGATACACCATTTTTCCTAAAAGGGCGGTGAAAACCCTATCCGCTATCTCCCACTCATGCCCCTCGATGTGTCTTACGACCGATGTGTTTACTAGGTACTCAGACAGTTGCGCTTTGCTAGCTGGAAAGTTAGTTGGTTTATTGGCAATTTCTTTAGTGCACTACACCAGACTGTAGTACAATGGAAGCATTCATGGGTTTGCTATTGTTATCTGGATATAAGAATCATACCCACTTTTTGAAACTCTGGACGACAGATAGTACCTACCGATTCTGAAACTTTTCCAACATGTATGGGTAAAAACCGATTCCTAGCATGACAAATCAAGGCATCGTTATCCTTATACATTGATTTATGCACTCATAATACATTCATAAATGTGGTGTACATAATACACCGCGCGGGTAGCTACAGGAGATTCTAAAACGCGGGCAGCTTAAGGATATTCTAGTTTCATACTCCTCAATTATTGTTAAAAAATAATTACATAAAAAACAATAGTCCCCACAAATCTTATATCTTCATTCGTATCGCACTGAAACGGTCATTTTGACCAATTGTCCAGATCGTAAATGGACTTATTGTTCATGATCATAGCCGTAAAAAGGCTCGTGGTGGATATTATTGCTCGACTTACGGCATTGTACGACGACAAATTGTTGGTTGTAGCTAATAAACAATTATTATTGAGCCGCCAGCATTCTATAAATGGTTGCAGGATCATGATTTATAAAACTGTATCACAAATTATTGTTGTAAAAAATGATTTCAGAATGTTTTTGTACTGAGAAGCAACCAAATTAGAGTTATATGACACCTCTAGCTGTAAACAATATTATAACCTTATACCTTACACAATATTTCCATAAGGTATTGGAATGAAATTACTCATTAAAATATGTCAACGAAATAATGTTAAGAAAAATATGTATGTCCCATTAAAATAAGTAACATTACAAAACCACAGAATCATTTATCAAATGGAAATCGAATGATTAGACCATAATCACCATTGTTTGCTTCTACAAATAAATTGGTATCATTTCGATCGTCGATCGCGCCAATTTAGTTATCGCGATTTAATATCTAATGAAATTCTTTGGCGGATATCTTCGTAGAATATTGGAAAATTATTCTCTTTTCTGCGCGCCTCACTCTATTTATCAACATAATCGTTGGAACCTTTTATTAGCAACGGAAGAATTATTATATAAATTGCCGGGTTTAGAAGACAGCAATGATGTATTGGCACCGACAAAATATGCAGCTAGCTTCGACAGTGGCACGCAAGGATTTTGAACTAATATTGAATTAAGTACCTCTAGGTATACCTAAATTGAAAAATAAAACATTTATCAATGAATGTTTTAGTGAAAGGTGGTTAGTTCCTAGATATGCCTAATGTTTCATGTTAAGATCTTCATCAAAAGAAGACTAGCATTTCAATGGTGTTTTGGAGTACTCTCAATGCAAAATGTAAAGCTAAATGAAACTGTAAGTTGAAGCGTTGATAAGGACGCATTGTCGAGAAAACATTTCCAATATAAATGCAGCCCTTATGACAGAGAGAAGTCATAACAAGGTAGCTGGGAGAAGCTAATTCTTTCATTGAAAAAAAAAAGAACACACATCGCTAAAGAAATCTGAATATGTGGATTATGAGTCAAGAATCTAATTAAATACGTTGAAAGTTATTTGCTATGATTTATCAGAAACCAAATTATCCCAAAAAAAACTCAATGATGTGAAATCGACGGGATTTCAATTCTCCTGGTGATGAGTTATAGTTTGTTACGATTATTTATTTATCATTTACGTAACGTGTTCCATCTCTTCTTATTTTCATTATAAAGTTGTATTTTTGCCATTTCAGAATTAGCAAAATAATAATTCATAATTTAAGTAATCTAAAAATATCCACAAATTTCAATATAATATCAGTACTGCCATCTATCCATCATCAACATGAAATGCAAAATATCTATTATTAAAAAAAAAAGGTTCTGCCATCTATTTAGTACCTGATAGATTTATTTTTCAAAGTATGATTTTAATTATTTCGCATTTGACAGTCATTTGTATTTTCATTTAAAGAAATTATATTTATCTCACTTTTGGCAAATGGATATATTTCTGTCTTTCTCTAACTTCTGATTTTGAAATGATTATTTTTGGCCTAATGACCTAATTAATTAGTGGTTTTTTGTTTTCAACATAACCTTAATTTAAATTATTGTAATTTGTAAACAATTAAAATAATTCTAGCGGATTTTCATCTATTCTCGTTTAATCCACGTGGTATTTCATTGTGAAGTGAATACAGTCTTTTGTGTGTAGTTTTCTGATTGGTTGATCTGGTTAACCTCCCGGAGCTCGCGCTATCCGCAGTCTTCAAATGTGCTTTTTAATGACTATTTCTAAAAATTGTTGTTGGCAATAAATGTTAATTGTTATTTATTTTAAGTTCTTATTCATCGAATACACTGATTTTGGCATCTTAACAGAACTTATTGCTAGAAAAAATTAAATATATTGATTTTGGCAACTCAACAAAACTTATTGCTAAAAGAAATCAAAAATAAACATTCAACAACAAAAATGAAGATTCTAATTGGAAATAGAAGTTTATCTCGTTGTGGGCGGCATTCATGACAAATAACAATTGAATTCTCCTCGGAATGCTTTAAACAAACACATTTGTGGCATTCAATGCAAAGAAAATGAGAAGGCCTCACAGTACGCATTGGCTATTATTTGGCATAAACATAAACACCAAGGCACAAATGAGCACTGACTCTAGGAGAACTCGGGATAGCAAGATACTTAAGATTGCAGTGCCGTTGTTTGTCGATTTTTGAAATAAACGGCAAAATAAGATAGTTGCGGAGTGAGAGACCGCACGCGATCTCCGGAAGGGTAATACGCAGTTGAGTATAAAAAACACAAGATTGGTTTCCTATAGGGTTTGGTTTCTAAAATGGTCTCTTTCTCGGGCAGTGCTCTAGCAGGCAAGTCATTTCATTTTTATAATTTTTCCTTCACATTTTTAGATTCTCCCTTATAATGTTTCAATTTATTTTGCCATCAGTGCATACTATCATATCACTGTTGAGTTTTTACCTGATAAATCTTATCTTATCTAACTTTTGAAATATATGTATTATATTTTAATTTTGTATCTAATTGTGGGCCTCCATTTTGTGTGTGATTGGTGGTTCCATGTTTTTCTGAGGTAAGTCAATTCTGATTTTTGGGCTTATAAATAGGCACTGCTGCTCTGGTTTTCAGAATCAATTGTTAGTGTGGGATTATTGGACCATCTGCTTTAAATAGAGTCGGTGAAAACCAAATTTGTGTGTCCATCCCTATCAACTCTTTATTGAATCCAGGCAGAGGCCTGTATAGCCATTTTCTGTTTGACTCCGTCAATTATTATCTATTACCTTCTCGAGGAGAAGAGTGATGGAAAAGGGTGTAATTTTTTAAAATAGAAATTCAGACAGGTCAAAAATTCATTTAGAAAGTTTTAATTAAAACATCTCAAGAATTTTGACATATTCTGGATTTGATTGATTTCACCCTCAGGTTTATTTTGTAGTACCTATGGTAGGTACCTTAACTTAAAAGGAAGATTTATCTATTTGGGGGAGAATCTAGAGATTTACTTTCTTAATTTTTTTTACAAGATTCAATTTTTGCTGCATTTGTTTTTTTTTGTTTTTTTTTTAATAATATTTTTTTTTTTCAGTTTGCAATAGTTGCTCATACCTGATTCTGTTGGAAAGGAGTGTCTATGCAACAATGGTTTCATAATTAACTAATTTCAATTTAAATCTTCTTTGCAAGACACTCGCTTTTGACAGAATTTCAGGGATTTAATATTCCAAATCTTGATGAACCTGATACTGCCTTATTCTTTTCTGGGTACCTACTGGACATAAAAGATCACTGTTTGGAGTCTGAATCAGCTGGAGTGACGTCACCCCAGCAATCTATCCTCTTTCCTGGATACAGGAAACAACACGAAAAGCTCCAGTTCATGAAAGTGAAACCCCAACATCCATTGAAGAGCTTCGGATTGGAAAGGTACATGTGTCAGATTCACCAGAACAACCTAGCTGTCAAATGTCAAATTTTCATAAAATAATTGTTTGTTGGATTTTGAGTGGTTTCATTTGCACATAAAGGGGCTACACGTTATCTTAATTTTTTGAATTCCACGACCCTATAGGTTCTCTGGCGTGCAAAGTGCTCTAAAGTACAAATAACGAGTTTTATTTGTAACAAGTTGAAGCTGAGACATTTTCTCATCTCAAATCACATTTCAACTCATAAAGTTAATTCTTCGCGTAATTGCATTCCTGAATTTATCTTTGGCTTCCAGAATTTTCTCGATTCTGGTTTTTTTCTCTTAGATTACGGTTTGCATCCATTCTCGGTGAACTTTAAATTTTCCCTGAGTCGGTCCTGTTTTTTTTTTTTTTTTTTTTTTTCGATTTACGATTTTCTGGTCACCGAAAGTGCTGATCCAATTCTTCTTGCTTTAAATCTTGTCTTCGTGTTTGGGTCTTCTTGCCTTTCTTTCTGTGTAAGGGGTTTCTTCTTCTTCTTGTCGTTCTTTCACTCTTCCTCTTCTCGTTTTTTTTTTGTTTCTCCAGTCTTCCTCTTCTTCTTTTTCCTTCTTTCTTCAGGCTTCTTGAGAAAGACGTGAATTCTTCCAACTGTCGTTTTATTCAATTATTTATGTTTAAGTGCACTCTACAGACTAGATTTCTAAATGGTACACTTGTGCAACTATCTTTGCTAATAACCACGAAGATCCAAATAACAATACATAGTCTGTAAATGGAAAAAAATGGTTGTTACTGCCACTAATAACCAACATCATATTAGGTGAAATGGAGCTGAGATGGAACGCAGAAGTAACTGCTCAACATTTGGCATTCACGTTATTCAGTTCCGTGGCACCCAACACCACTTAAGTCCGTATTACATCTGTGTATTTCTACATGTATTTCTACATGTATTTATACATGAAGAAATACACGAATGTGAAGCGGAAATATTACCGTGTATTTGACCTTGAATTAATACATGTATAAATACAAGCAATAAAACCTGTTCCATTAAAGCCCGTATTACATTGTATTTTTTCGAGTATTCTAGTGCTACCAACCCTACCAACAGACGACTCATAACCTTTTTTAAATTTTGGCGGTTTCTGGTTATATATCAAATTATTTGTCAATTTGTGATTGATTGTGTTCGATCTGAGCTGGAATCAAATCAAACAATTCCTTCGACCTTATTGCTGTTTATAACTGGCGCTGTTCCTTCAAAAATTGTAAGTACCTTACCATCCGTTGTTATGTGTTTGATACCTATAAACCTACTAGAAAATACCTTCATTTTTGGTAAATAGAGTACTCTTTTTGTGTCTGTTGTACTTTAAATAAAAATTTCTTGATTTTATAGATGGAATTTCAATTGAACTTCACTAGAGAAAAAACTAAAACTTTAATTAGCCTCTATGAAAAGTATCCAGATATTTATGACGTTCACAAAGAAATATATAAAAATAAAACGAACAGAGAGATGAAGCTGAAACAAATTCTGAACGAATTTATTCAAATTCATCCAGAAGCAGCATTATTAACCCAAGCCGATATAAAAAAAAAATAAATGGACTCAGAAGCCAATTTTTTAATGAAAATAATAAAATTAATAAAAGTAAAAGAAGTGGAGCCGGCGCTACATATGTCTACAAACCTACTTGGTGGTGCTTCGATTTATTGCAATTTTTGAGTAATAGTTCCACAACTAGGAAAAGCTCATCCAATTTGAGCTCTCAAGAACAATCTGAAAATTCACGAGACATAGATGATTCTGAAGAGTTACCGGTAAATTTATGTATTATTTATTTACATCATGAGGTGGATACCTATGTACCGGGGCAGGAAGACATTGTTTTCTCTGGACATTAAATTTCAACTCCACTTTGAGTCATGGACTGCTTTTTCAACTAATAATATTGAAGTTATCATTTATTACAGGACATTTTTTTTAATGACAATCTCGAAGTACTAGAGTCTGAAGACAATGTTGAAAATGTTCCAATAGTTTCAACTCCACAGGCTTTACCGAGTGCTTCACATTTTCATGGCGAATCTAGCTCCCAACCTGGCTATTCTGATAAAAGAAAAAAAAGAAAAATAAATGACGAAGAAAAACATCAGTCTACTATGAGTTTATTACAACAGGCTTCTTCATTGCTAGGTCAGGAAACTTCAACGGAAGCACTAGACCATATTGGAAATTTTGCACAGTATGCTACTACAGGGCCCGCTCTAGGGACGGACGACCCGGACATTATTTTGTCTGGGGCCGCAAAAATAAAAGTCGGCCTTTTTGGTGTGATGTGACAAACTATTGTTGAAAGTTAACTTGCAATTCACATTCCGCACTCTTTTTGCCTAAAAGCAAAAAGTAATATTCATATTTCTGACGAAAAGCTATTTACCTAACAAGTGGGGAAAATGAATTTTTCCGCACGCGGCTGCCGTTCACCGAAGGACGCGTTTTTTGACTATCAGTGCGGTAAAAAAATTTCCGCACTGACAGCCGTGCTGAAAAGCTTTTTCCGCACTGATATGTCGAAAAAAATAGTTTTACCGCACCGTGCGGGAAAACTCATTTTCCGCACGCATATCAGTGCGGAAAATCGATTTTTCCGCACGGCTGTAGGAAAAAAACATATCGGCGGTAAATGAGGCGAAAATTTTTCTTTTTGTCCGGGGCGACGTAAACGCTGGAGCGGGCACTGGGCCGGTATTCTCGTTACCGAAAACTCTCACCGCGTTTAAGTCGCTCGGCACTTTTAATGCAAATTTACATTAGAAGTCCAAGCGACTGAAAAGCGGTGAGCGTTTTCGAGGACCAGAATACCGGCCCTGGTTACTAGTTCAATACACCTAGTAATGATTTTATGTTTTTAGAATGGTTGGATCAGAATTGAGGAATATCAAGAGCCCTCAAATTCTTAACAAACTCAAGAGGAGTATATCGCAACTGTTGTTCGATGCACAAGACGAAGATCAGAATCATCAGTTTTAATCATTTATACATCATTTCATCAATATACTTTTTGAAACATTTTTTTTCTGAGTTAAAAGGTCATTCTCAAACATTTATTGAATTCTTTGGAAAAAAAAAACATAGTTTCTCAGTCTAAACTAAATTATTTTGCCAACCAACAGCCCCTTCATTATTAACATATTGCATAAATTCATTCCTTATATCAATTGCAGAATTTTTTGGTCTATTCATACCTTGGACACTCAAAGCATGTATAGATTTATAATTTTTGTCATACTCATCCACTGCAATAGATGTTGGACAATCTGTTCTCAAAAAATTATGTAGTGCACAGCAAGCCAAAGTTATTAACTCGACTTTCCTTTCATTTAAGTCAATGGTTGTCAAAAAAATTCTAAACCGATTAGCCAATATTCCAAATGCATTTTCTACTACTCTTCTAGCTCTGCTGAGTCTGTAGTTGAAAATCCTTTGTTCCTCAGTCATATCCCTGAATGGGAATGGTTTTAAAATCCTTTCTGATAAGGGAAAAGCAGCATCTGCAACAAACACGTAAGGAACTTTTTTATGTCTTCCTGGTAGACTTTTGTCTTCTGGAAACTTCAAAGTGTTTCTATCAATGGCCAAAGCCAAAGTGCTGTCCCTAAAAACACCTCCATCAGACATCCTACCATTTTTGCCAACATCTACATAAAGAAATTTATATTGAGCATCTACCAAAGCTAGTAAAACTATGCTATTTTGTCCTTTATAATTAAAGAAAGTTGAACCAGCACTACGCGCGGGTCTGAACAAGATGTGCTTTCCGTCAAGTGCTCCTATACAATGCGGCAGGTTCCATATGTCTTCAAAGTCCTTTGCAACTTTCAACCAGTCTACTTTCTCTCGAGGAATCTAAAAAATTATAAAAATGAAATTAATATATCAACTTTAAATGCACACAATTTATACCTATGTAGTTAATTATCACTCATTGTCTCGGTAATGGCACTTACTTTCAAATATTCAGATTTGAGGGAGTCATATATTGCCTGGCACACATTTGGTACAAATAATGAGATGGTGGATTCATGAATTCTAAAAGCGTACATCAGACTTCTGAAGGTTTCGCCCGTTGCCAAAAATCTTAGTGTGACAATAAGTTGTTGTTTAGCTGAAATTGATTCTCTGAAAAATGTTTTCTTTTTGGTGAGCCTGCGTTTAACTAGGTTTAGAAGTTTCCTAAAACAGTGTTCATCCAGTCTTAAAAACTGCTTAAATTGGCCAGGATCATCTCTAAATCTATCAATTAAACTTAAACCTCCCATTTTTTTGTTCAATAACCAAGGCCTCACCCACCAACGCCTTTGTTTTGGTTTCAAATCATCTTCCTTTAGCAGCAAGGAGCATGCTGCAATGATGCAAAGTAAAGCTGCCTTTCTTTTCTTATTTTTCAGTTTTGAATTTAACATTTTATGAAGAAATCGCGAATAAATTAAATTGCCACTGCAAAAACTGGAAGCACAGAACACTGAAACTTGACAATTTGAAGTGACAAATATGTACTTTTGAGAGAGGTTGGTACAATTGAAATTTCGCGTATTTTTGCTATTGAAAAAACATGAATGTGAAACAGCTGATCTCGTGAAGAAATTCATGAATTTATACATGTATAAATACATGTAGAAATACACGGAGAAATACACAGATGTAATACGGACTTTAGGGTTTATATAAAAAAGGAAAATGGCCTGCCAGGTAAGATTGCTAAACTAATTTTCAGCAGCCCATTAAAATTAACTGATCTGGGGTGTATTCAAAAAAAAAAACTATAGGTAGGTATATAACAACAGATTGAAGGTAATATGGCCTATGCACGATAGGAAGTAGAAGGTAAACTAAAAGAAACAGAATACAGATCCAGAACATTCGAAACCATGAATCAGTCCAGACAATGAATAAACGTCAGTGTCACAAGCAAAGACAACTGCTCACTGGAAGCTGAATGTTATTTCTGAGATTGAAACAAAATGGAATCCAAGAAAACTTAGTCCAATAAGAAGCAAGGTCGAACTTATGTAGGATTGAGAAAGTACGGGCCTTGGTCATGTGGTCAAGACACAATTTCACATGTCTGTTGTATTCTAAGGATTGATTTGGTTTTTCGAAAACCTTGTTGTCCTCTGCGAATTTCCATACGCTTTCCAACACATTTCCTGTGAAATTGTTTTAGCCATAACTTTTAGCAGGCTGTTAAGAAGCGATAAAAATCAGGCCTATGATGTATCCTGTCCTGTTATTTTAACGGCTGTGTTAAGGCTCAACATCTACTTCCGTCTCTATTTTGACGTATAGAATAAACATTAACAGATAACTTAACGCTGCCGTTAAAATAACAGAAAATGATACATCATAGGCCTGAATGTCGTGGGAATATTTTCTGGCGTTTTTTTAATATCTGAATCCATAATATGGAATTACATCCACCATAATTTTTTCTGATTTTCTTATTTCTTTCTTTTCATCTCTTTTGCGAATCTTCTCTAGAATTTATTTTTATTATTTACTATTACTTACTCTATTTTGTTCTATTTTATAGGTAGGTACCATAACTCCTTCTGCTTGATGATAAGGAGCTATGTAGCATTACTTTTCTTTCCCTGAAAAGTGTATTAAAAACAAATTCCAACCAATACACATAATTTATATGAGTATTAACAAGTTATAAATTGAAATCTTTTAATCCAGTCAATAACAAAATGTAATTCGCTCCGATTCAAGTTTATTAAATGTAAGTAAATTATTATCTTTAAAACCTTTTTTGTATGGTCCAGTGAACTTCCTGATAAAATCGAATAGAAACAAGAAATAAAACACTAATTTATGCGATTCGCAATATGTCGTGCTACGACTCTGGCTGAAAATCTCATAATTATATAGATAAATTACGAATCCCTGAATACTTGGAATACATTAATATAGAGTCCATTCAGCCGGAAATTACCGCTTTAAATTGTTTTTACTTCTTTACTGTTAGTTTATATTTACGCAATTTTAAGCCCCTTTTAATGACTTGAGTTTTTACACCTTTTGACACAATATTTTGTCGGATAATTACAATAAACCTACAAAGGGTACCGGCATAATTTCACGTATTTTATTTTCAATTAATTTACCGACAGTTTTTTTTTACCAGCGGAGGATAGGAGAGGAGGATACGCAAACAAATTTTAAAGAAGTGGTTGTATGCATTTCCCTTTAAGGCAATATAATAATTACGGTGATTCGGAAACATTAACGAATACGATGTAAGCAGCCAGTTTACGTAAAGAAATCTAACAGTAAGAGCTAGTCAACTGTTCATCATCTCGATAAAGTTATGTCCTGTCTGTATTAAATATGAGGTTTTAGTGTTTAATTAATCATGCATAATGACCAACATAAGAACTAGTTGGATTGCAACGCTTCTAGTATCTTACGGCGATGATGTATAGAATTAATTGCAGTATTGAGTCAAATTGCTATCTACATGTGGCGTTCATGAAGTAACGAAGAAAAACCCGCCTTGCGTATTACGTAAGAATTTTGATTTCTCGTCTGCGTGCTTGAAATTAATCAATGCCAATTGGCTATTGAGAAAAATATTTTATAAAAAGAGTAAAACGATCTGTCATGAAACAATTTTTTTTTGTATTCAGGTACTTACAATGAGCCATTTTTTATTTCACAACTTGTACGGATTGCTATGTATTTACCTAATGTTTTGACAATAAAACATTAAAACAGTTTACTGGACACAGGGCATTTTATGGTCAGAAAACAGATTACAAATACTATAAACCAACAAGGTTTGATTTGAATGACCACACGACATGACAAATCTATGACATCACATTTCCTAACTTGCAGGATGGCTCAATTGTGAGCAAACACCGCACTTTTCCCCTCTTGGCCATCTTAAAAAAAGTAAGACTATACCTAGATCCAATTTAATTATGGGTTTGGGAGCCCTATTTGATCTACGTACTAGGGTTCTAAACGTCAAATCCATACCAACACTTGTCACTCCGGGATAAACACGATTATCGAATGTAATACCACAAGAGGTTTCAGGATTACCGGATAATACTTTTACCTGTCACGAAACGCGTTACGCAGCAACACCACGACTCCGAAGGAGGAGTGGTGTTGCTGGTAACGCGTTGAGTGTCAGGTTAAAGTATTAGGTAATCCTGAAACATCGAGTGGTATTCGAAAGGTTATACAGCGAACTAAACCTTAATACAAAATGAAACAATTTTTTTTCTATAATGGAATTTGCTATACCTAGTAACTGCCACCAAGCGCGATAATCCCAAAAGGCTTATCACTTCTCCTTACTGGAGACTTATTGACTATATCAAAGTTTTTCCCTGAATGACAAGCAACATCATCCGCTTCCGAAATAGATGTAGTAGATGGTTGCGGTAATTTACTCAGGTGACCGCTCAGATGACGTTTCTAACTCCAGACTAACAGTAGGGTACTTATGTTCTAATACTAAAGAATCCTTACATTTCTGTATACAATAGTCACAATAATGGAACATTCTTGTGACATCATTGACTCTAATAAAATATGTCACTGAACTTAACACTTTTACAATAACGCCTATGCCCAAAATGTAGGTATCTGTTTTTCTAAACTGTGCTAACACTTTTTCCACCATTTGAAGAAAAAAAATACGACACCCGGATCAGACTTATTTTTAATTGTATTATTACCAATATCAGGTTTTAAAAGATCTAAACGTATACGAGGCTTTACTTTAAAGACAATCTCAAAAGGTGATAATCCAGTGGTCTTATTTGGTGTTTTTCTATGTGTAAGTAAAAACTGGCTGAATAGAGCTGACATAGTGAGGAAAACCACCTATTTGAAATATTATTTCTACAAATCTTAAACTTTTAAAAAACATTTACTATAAAAAAGCAAATGGTGAATATTGCAACCATGTATGCGTTGTCAAGTAGGGGCGAGCGTAGACGCGCCGAACAATA